GTGCACCTCGTGGGCCTTTCTTGCCAAACGCGAAAAATTTTGGTGCGCGAAACCAAAAAGGTTTCCGCATTGGCGCTTTCCACCAATTATCCTCATTACGCGAGACCCAGGGCTTCCCTTAGGAAGATTATGCATTTTTGTTTGTGTTAAAATCCGAACCGCCTGGTGACCTTGCCTTCAGCCCGGCCGGTTGGGTCCCCCGATTGGGCGCCAGGCGGGCCCAACACAATTTCTCGTGGGGGGTTTGGGGGGGAGGCCTTTTTCAGTAGTGGTGGCCTCCCCAGATGCCTGCGTCGCCTGATGCTTGAAAAAAAAAAAATTGGACTTTCTAGGAGGGTGGGATGAACCTTTTTCGGCGACTGATCCGAGTTGTCGATGTGCGAAGATCGGCGACTCGGATCAGTCACTTAAAAAGGTCTCGTCCCATCCCCTCTGGCAAGCTACAAGCCCACATTTGAATTCTAATGGAGGATTGTCCTCCCCGCACGAAGTTCGAAGCCCTGCTGTCATCATCGACCTGCCCATCGTCATTGACCTACCCCTGGCGCGTCGTCATCGAGCTGCCTTTGACCCGTTGTAATCCAGGTGCTCTCTGTGCATAGCCGACCTCCTCCTCGTGCGGAGCTCCCAAAGCTGCCACATCGTCGTTCTTCCTCCTCCTGATTTCGTCTTCTTCTTTTCTTTCCTCCTCATTTTGTCTTCTTCTTTTCTCTCCTCCTCCTCCTCCTCTTGTCTTCTTCTTCTTCTCTCCTCCTCCTCCTCGTCATTTTGTCTTCTTCTTTTCTCTCTTCGTCCTCCCCTTCCTCTCCTCTCGTCTTCTTCTTCTTCTCTCCTCCTCCTCCTCCTCATTTCGGCTCCTCCTTTTCTTTACTTCTCCTCCTCCTCCTCCTCCTCTCGTCTTCGTCTTCTTCTCTCCTCCTCATTTCTTCTTCTTTTCTCTCCTCCTCCTCCTCCTCCTCCTCTCCTCCTCTTCCTCCTCCTCATTTAATCTTCTTTTATTCTCTCCTACTCCTCTTCTTCCTCGTCCTCCTCCTCCTCTCGTCTTCTTCTTCTTCTCTCCTCCTCCTCCTCAATCCGTCTTGAAGTTCTTCTCTCCTTCTCCTCCTCATTCCGTCTTGAAGTTCTTCTCTCCTCCTCCTCCTCCTCCTCCTCCTCCATCGGCCTTTTTTTTTCTCGTCATTCTTGTCTTCTTCTTCTTCTCTCCTCCTCCACCTCCTCCTCTCGTCTTCTTCTTCTCTCCTCCGAGTCCTCCTCCTCCTAGTTCTATCTTGAAGGTTTTCTCTTCTCTCCTCCTCCTCCATCGGCCTTTTGTTTTCTCGTCATTGCAATACACAACAAGCAACTCCTCCTCCTTCTTGTTATTTTTTCCTCCTCCTCCTCCTCCTCCTCCTACTCTTGTCTTTCTTTTTTCAAGTCGGCTTCTTTCTCCTCCTCCTTTCCTCTCCTCCTCCTTCCTCTCCTCCTCCTCCTCCTCCTCTCTTCTTCTTCTTTTTCCCCTCCTCCTCCTCCTCCTCTCTTCTTCTTCTTCTTCCCCTCCTCTC